TTTGTCGCGCTTCTCCCGTTTTAATCAACGCGGATTGTCTTCGCTTCGACCGCGCGAATAGCGTCCGGTGTCGGGCGAGAACTGAATTCCTGAAACTCTAAATATTCGAACGCGCGGTCCCTCCGATCGTCGACTAATGGAAAATCATGGCAGAAGCGTTGAACGGCAATATTTCTCAGAGCGGTATCGTCCAGTGCGGCGCGATTTCTCCTGTTGGCGAGCATCATGTAGAAAAGAATGAGAAAGAGATTTTAATATACTATAGATTATCGAGTGTAATAATTATTTTACAGCGTTCATCTCACGTTATCGAATTCCTAAGAAAAAAAATATATTATGTCGGTTATATATCTTTTTTTATTCTTTATTACATTTCGTTTAAAGAAATGTAAAAGAAAAGAATAAATGAAAAATATATTATATCAATAAGTGGAGAAAAATAGAAATTGATTTTTTCAATTTTTTTTGCAATCACTTCTTTTGAGTTAAAGAATCACAGGATTTCTCATTCTGCTCTAAAATCGACACGAGACGCGCCATGCGGTGACCGGATAAATTATGTTAGAGCGAAACTCACAAATTCTTTCTTATTCCGGCTTAATCCGAGGGAACGACCGTAGTAAAACGGATCAAAGGGGGATCATGCACGGGAACTTGGCGAGCATCCCTGTCTCCCTCTCCGCGCAACTCACTCTCCGAACGCTCGTTTCGACTCGTTTCTCCACCTCGATTCGCCACCTTGCTACCTTCGCTACCTTCGCCCGACCGACTAACCTTTGACCCTCGCAGTCAAGATTAGAAGGGGAAACGAGAGAGGGAAAGAAAGATGAGGAAAGGGAGAAAAGAAAGAGAAACAAAGAGAAAGAGAGAGAGAGATAGAGACAGAGAATTTTGCGTGGTGAAACGATTGCTTTTCCGCTTGCCGGATTTTTATCGAGTTATCGAAACTCCATCGACACACCGAGACAAATTTCATTTCGCAGCGGCAGCCTCGTCGGCGCATCCGTGGAATCGAGCGGGTTGTTAATATTAGATTCCTGCGTGAAATTTTTTCGCCATGTCTACGATACGTATAGAACATGTGCGTATATGCATCTTTCGTTTCTTTGACGACTGTCCAGAAAATTACGATATTATTTATTTTAACTATGAATTTCCTTTCTGCGTTTCTCGAGAAAGAGCCCATACATAGCAGAAATATCTAGAGTACATTATAGATACTCTAAAAATATATTTGGGATATAAAACATATATCTTTAGAGAGAGGATATGTTCCTATATGATGTATTTCGGCTATTTCCGTTGCATAAGAGTTTTCTTTCAAAGTGAAAGGCAAAGTTCTAATACGTTTTAAGCAATTTACGACGTACACAAGGCATCACAAATGCCTACCCATCTGAAATTGCATTTCTATTGAATTCACAAATTGAAGTCAAAGCTATTAAAAAAAAAAAGATTTAACAATAGCAATCGACACTGAGAAAAAAAATTATCGATTTAAAAAAATATTATTTCATTCAACTAAATGCGACGGTCACGTGCTGTCAAGCAAATATTTGTTAATTCAATAAAGTACTAGTTAATTCACAAAAATATCATGTTAATGATGTATCATGTTATTAATGTACGTTTAATTAAAAAACATATATAACTGAATAAAAAAGAACTGTCAACAAAACGTATTTAATTATTTTAACAACTTTTTTTTCTCAGTGGACACACCTCCCGTACAGCACATATCTCCAAGGGATGTCCTAAAGATGCCCAATGAACGTCTTACATACACGTGTTTCCAGGATGGCCCCAGCTAGGACAACCCTCGATCGAATGGAATATGCACACAGAATACATATATATACTAGTAAATATTATACTAACGTTTCATTGGAAATCTTACCCTGCTTATAACAATAGCTTTTTTTGCCACAATTACTACTGCCCATTCCAAAACGTATACAGGAGAAAGAAAAAAATATTACGTATTAATTTATGACAATGATATTAAATCACATAAGATGCCGGTTTTTGTATATTCTTTACAATATAATACGAGAGAAAAAGTTGCTACTAATGTTCCATTTTTCGACCTTAAATAACATTGACTGGAGTAAAGTTTAAAGAAGTACACCGCTTGTTCTAATATTTCCGGAGTTTTTTATTTTTTCCCTTGCAATGCATCGCCAATAAACATACCGCTGTGAAAACATCACAGGTTTTTTATGTCATTTTAAAGACGTCATTTTGCTCACTTTACGACTCCATGGGAAGCTAAATCAATTGTGTCTTTTTTTTCTCCTCTTTTCCTATACCATATCCATAATAAGATAGATAAATACTCTACTACCTCATTCGACTTTACTCGCATATTCTCCGTGTGCGGGTGTAAACTCGTGAATTTTCAATACACATATTATTATAGAATCTCTCGAATAGTGTATAGATGATACAATTATATAAATTAATATACATATTAAAAATATTGACAATATGAATGAATTTGAAATCATCAACTCTCGTCTCGATCGGAACATATATCATGCTCAATTAATATCAAAAATTATATAAAATTTCATATTACAATGCATCTGCAGAATGCTATTCATGCAGCTGCAGAAATTCTATTCATTTTCTATATAATATATATTTTACGTACCTAATAGAATTAAGTGGAATATATATATGTGTTATCCAAAGCTAAAGAGTACGTGAATAGTGCCATAGACACGCACACACACATACACACACATATATATATACATATATACATATATATATGTATATATATGCTCTCGAATAGTATATACATGGTACAATATAATTAATATACATATTAAAAATATTACAATGTGAACGAATTTGAAATCATTTAACTCTCGTCTGGGAATATCATGCTCAATTAATATTAAAAATTATATAAAATTTCATATTACAATAAATTAAACTGCAGAAATTCTATTAATTTTTCGTATATATATAATAATGTATATTTTACGTACCTAATCGAATCAAGTAGAATGTATAATACATGTTAAGCTAAGGAGTACGTGGAATAGTGGCGGAGTGTAAAAATGAATTGCGATACACAATTTCTTGTTAATGTTATTGTACAAAAATGCAACGGTAGTTTCGACCACATCTTCCGACATCTTCTAGCAAAATGGCTTCAGTATCATGATAGCGACATCTGTTGATAACTAATTTAAGCTGCACAATGGTAAATTGTGCTAGTCGATATATATAGTTTACTCATTGAGTACGTACCCACTGAGTTTACTCATTGACAATGTGTCTTTTCAATGAATTTACCTAGATCATCGACTATGGGTAAATCTTAACATTATCGACTACTAAATAATACTTTTGACAAATAATATGTGATTATAATAGTTATCATTTTAAAAACATTACTGATGACTTATTTCTGATGAATATAAATGAATTAAATATCGCGTGATAGTAATATAAATTTTGAATTACATTTTCGACGTAAAAAGTTGAGTCCCTAGAAATTTATTGTTGGCGATCACTTCCGGTTTCGTTAACCTCTCTTCTATCTTCCTTTCGGTGACAAGCTTTGCAGCAAGATGGTGAGTGTTGCGCGAATTTTTCCTAAAATCCACATTTTTCGGCGAAATCCTGTATGATACGCGTCAAACGCTCGAATGGGACAATAAATCTCATTAATTTCGAATCTGTCTCGGGAATATTTTAACAAATGTCGCAAGAAAGGATGAATTGACGTTTTGAGGTTGGACGCGTCCAGGTGCCGAGATGCGTCGCGTTTCTAACCTCGCGATGTGGCGAGCAAATGTTGCGATTTTAAGTTTCTCGTATTCGAGTGACAGTCACGGAGATTCGTCAATTTTCATTTTGCATTCACGCGTCGAGCGTAAATTCGTGCACGTCGTATGATTCATGGATTGTTGCGTGTCGTGGTTGAGGTTAGCTGTGAATTTATATGTATATATTCACGTGGGTGTGCTTCTGTCTTCCAGTCGCTCGTGATTCCTGAAAAGTTCCAGCACATTCTTCGTGTCATGGGCACGAACATTGACGGCAACAGGAAAGTCATGTTCGCCATGACCGCGATCAAGGGTGTCGGTCGGCGTTACGCCAATATCGTTCTGAAGAAGGCGGACATCGACTTGGACAAGCGAGCTGGGGAGTGCTCGGAGGAGGAAGTGAGTTTTGCCGTTTTATTTATTTATTTATTTGTGCGACTAACCACTGATCCTGATGTATCAAAAATGTGCTTTTAGGTCGAAAAAATCGTCACTATTATGGCCAACCCCAGGCAGTACAAAATTCCTGATTGGTTCCTCAACAGGCAGAAGGACATTGTCGATGGAAAATACTCGCAGGTACGCATTTATTTCCTTCACAAAAGAAAAGAACCAGGTTTTAAGACACATACTTTATTGTTGAAAAATGTAAAATTATACACTTGGAGAAACATTTCTTGTGTATTGGTATATGAAATTGCAGCTTGAAGTAACATTTATTAAGATTCAATTGAGATAAAGATATATATATGGATATAGTGGTGATTTTTCAATCGTTTGTCTATTTTTCTAATATACTGCACAAATTCACGACTGATTGTACAAATGTTCATTGTACGTTCAGCTGGTAGCTTGTGCAATAGCGACTGCACTGCTGTACATTTTTATTGCTTTGTAGCATTTCTTATTATCTCGAGTAACAAGTACGAGTGCAACAGAAAGATCGAGTTATATAATTTTATGGAATTGCTAATGAAGAAGCTTATCTCTAAAATTGTATATTATTTTGCAGCTCACGAGTGCCAATTTGGACTCTAAATTGCGCGAAGATTTGGAGAGGATGAAGAAGATTCGCGCTCACAGAGGCCTGCGTCATTACTGGGGTCTCCGTGTACGTGGTCAGCATACTAAGACTACTGGTCGTCGTGGTCGCACGGTCGGTGTGTCGAAAAAGAAGTAAACTTTTATACATATATTATGTACTATTAATAATAAATCTTTAAACGGTGAATATTTATTCGATTACTCAATCAATCGTGAAAGAACCGTCTCGGTTAAGAGGCACAATGTTGAATACAAGAATAATTCCATCGTGTCGTATGCTTTTAATCATAGATTAGTAATTTATTTAAATCGGGATGTTAAATCTTTTTGGTCCTGAAGTAACGAATCACCTTTCAAGCCAAGTAAGATAACCATTGTCTCGACTAATTCAAGCTAAAGACAAAATTTGGCGAAAGAGAGAGAGAGAGAGAGAGAGAAAAGTGCGCTAAAAATTGACTCTAAATACAATTGACAATAGCTTCTAAGTGCATTAACGACTTATAAAAAGCAGTTCCACATATACTTTCGGCACCTTTCCTCGTTGATTGCCTCTGATTCCCATAAAGTAATCGTCGTCATCGGGAATTTCATCAATACCAATTACCTAGAAAAAACATACATATATCTCGCCTGTCTTTCTTTTTCTCAAGATATATTCAATTTATTAAAGTATAACTCTTTATACATACATAGTCTAATAACATCGTATTGATTGTAATATACAGGCACGCATTTTATATATAGCGTCACTATAGATATACATCGAAATAAGCGTACAGAACAATACGTGAAAGATACGATAGTAGTGACATAATAAATAAAATGCTCGTAACAAAGTAAATAAAATGATAGGCGTTTATTGATAATACATGCACAATTTGAATAAATATACATACACAATAATTCGTCCACGCACAAGTACGTTTATGATCCGATCTGTTCGTGATGTGTCCCGTATTTGTGTTTATCTTACAAATCTATACGCGGGGAAAATGTAAAATTCTGTAATGTGTAATACTAACGACACATCGATTAAAAAAAAAAAGTAAGAAAGCGCACGTAAATCCAAACAAATTGAAAATTACGATACAACTTATCTATCATGCACAATATAGTACAACTCAGCGTACAATTATGTGGATATAACTGCTAATCTTGTGAAGATAAATAGACTTTCCTAATCGAATTATTCGATATTTCGCATCGTTTTGCGGTTTGTAGGATAAGATAGAAATTAATTTCTTTAAAGGATCGCGTACAATGTTCATTCATGATTCCTGAAACTTTGCAGAACGATTTATTAATATTGCTAAAATTATTACTCTTTTTATTTCCCGTCTAGCGCGTATCCATTCGGAAAATGATTTTTTCCCCAACTGTCTTTGCATTGATATTAATACGTTGCAGGAGTATCATAAGTTTAAACTTTTTTTTTGTTTTTCTGACAATACACGAGAATATGAGTTTTTTAAAGCTTTCCTTCGAGAATAGTGTGTATAATAACTTGCAAGTTAACAACATATTAGTTGCTTAAAAATAAATGCATCAGAACAATATTGTTAGTATTAACAGAGAGCTCTTGAAGTTATACAAATATGAGCATCTCAATTTTAAACGTGTACTTATATTAACAAAATACTTAATTCTATAACGCGTGTTAAAAGAGAAGTTCATCTCGGGGCAACATCTTAAATCTTTCGGGACGGATCTCCCTTTGGACGCGACGGGTTCAAATTTTTTTTCCAGAGCCTAGGTTGAAAATCGAAAAATCGACGACAGATAGTCCCGAAAGATTTAAGTCTAAAACGAGTCGACTTGTACATACGGCAGTCCGAGGGAGATACAAACAAATCTTTCTACAGTACATATTTATACAGAGTGATAAAAAAAAGACTATAAGTAGGTGATCTTACAGTACCGTAACTTAACCCGACTACAGATTCATGCCTTTCGCTTCGAGACATCACCAAATCATGCTGCCGCGCACCTAAATCACAAACTTGGTTACCTCGTCCCGCATGACGCTTAGCTCGCTAGGATCCCTCGCGTCGTAATTCCACAACACTCTTGCTCTGTCCTGATCGTTCTCGGCTAGTGTGTTGGTGGTGGCTGGTGGGGTGGGGTAATGGGGACCCCCAGATAGTCTGGGTAGGTAAACGACAATTATAGTGCTGTAATCTTATCTGTAATAGACTCGTATGTGTACGAGGGAAACGTGGAGATAGGAATGAGGCACAACCGTAGGTGTAAGCGATTTTTTACGAGGACCATACACTGCCATACAACGCGAATATATATTATGATATCGTTTTACGTTTATAATCAGGCACACACTCGCCATCGGGTTCTACATGGTCGATACTTGACATCGAGCGAGATAATAAGTGTTCGATTGTGATAAGTATGCATGCAATTTAAAGAGATTGAATTTCGCATTAGAGACATTTTTTATTCGGCAAATTAGTCTGTTATTTTGCGACGTGTGTTTTCAATTCTACCGGTCCAATTACATGCATTAGTGTTACACGGTTCACCCCGATATTCCCGATATTACAGGAAGAATAGAGAAATTTTATCTCTCCCCTGCAGTATTCAATATAGGCAGATTATCAACTATCCTAATATATAAAAACAAGAAAAGCGTGATATATATATCTATAATTATGTCGTTGTTTAGTTACATGGCATTGTTATAGCATTCAGGATTAGTTTCTCTTTGATGCCATTATGGCCATTCTCGGCCGAGTTACGGCGATCCAAAGCAACTGTTCTCAAAAGACATTACAAGAACAATAAGAAGTAGTAGCAGAAGAAAGATGAAGATAAGATAAGAATGTAGACCGCACTGATCGCCGTAAATCGTTCACAAAGAAGTTTATCGAGAAAGATTTTCTTTGTCCGTTTCTATTTCGCCTAAATATACAATTGCATGTACAATTATATAACGTTATAGAATATTTTTATTCGGTTAACAGGTTTATAACGATTAAGCGACAGTTGGAACCAAGCTTTTGTTAACGCGTATGTGGAATTTGAGCGAACGTCACTAGAAAGGGAAAATTGCGTGACAGCTAACGTAGATCCGTCAATTTAAATTGCCAACTGGATTCGAAATTCGTAACAATCCGTCAATGCTCGTATTCGTAGGATTTGAAAACTAAACTTGACTGATATCAGTGTCGAATGTGGCGGTAACGTAAGCGGCAGATCCGGCGGTTACGGAGTTTTGAGAGAGAGTGGGCGAGGGGTTTAGCTCGATCACTTCCTCGCTGTTGACTCTCAGCATAGGGCTCGGTTGACGCGCCCTGCAATTACCAATTCGTGCAAGCAGAGAGATAGAGAGCGTAGCGGGAGAGAACACTCTTCAACGGATTGCACGAAGGTCGAGGAAGCAAGGAGTGAATTATTAAATATGTAGATGACGAAAAATAATTTGCACTAATTACTACCGATTGTTACAAAGCACAGGACAGGATGCTGATATGAAAGCGTATTTGTAAGTCATGTCGGCATTAGATCTGGTATAATTAATCATCCGCCGGTTTCACCGACACGTCAACTATCTTAAAATTTTAATTCTGCTGTCTTTCTTGTTTTACGTTAATTAAAGGTTAAAGTTAGCAGGCGCCGTTGAAACCGGCCGTAAAAACAGGTAATGTTCGTCAAACCACAAAGGCTGCATCTTCTGTGCAGCGAAATATTTATTATATCGTGAAACATTCCATTGTGTCATTTTGTCCAAATCTATGCCCGCGGTTGCTATAAGGAGAAGCGAAGCTCACGAATCGATACCTAAACATAGTAATTACCATTCAAGGTTTGTCAAACATTACTCACTCGGATCACCATAAAGTGGGATAGCTGTACAGAAATGTTGCAATAACAATACGCTGCACGAGGACGAATAACGTGCCGAATATGAATTAGAGATGAACAGAGTAGGTAGATAGAATAAAAGAACGAAAAAAAAGCCATATAATGGCGAAGGCAACGAACTTACCCGGCAAGCTCGCGCTGCAGATCCTGCATGACGGCGTGGCATTGCGCGTAATGGCGTGCTTGCGCTTCTGCGAATTCGTGCAGGCATCGCAAGTGTCCGGCGTGTGAGCTTGAGACACCCTCCAGCAGTAATTTCACAATCTCTGCTTGCCGATCGAACTCCGATTGCGCTACCCTCAGCTCCCTCTCTGCCTGAGTGAGCAATATATACATTTTATTTATTGCTTTCTGTATATATGTATATATTTTTTGACATTTGCTATCTAAGATGAAGTCAGAAAATTAAAATAATTATGGCTATCGCTATTGAATCCGTATCATGAAAAAGATTTGATTGCAATTTAATTACCATAAATGCTATTAGTTTTTTTATTTCTCTATTATATGTATTTATATAATAGAGATGATGAGAATATTATGAAAATGCAAAACGCAAAACGTGACAACACTAGAGCTCTACTAATTATAAAATTAAATTTATATTCTTAAAAAATTTCCATAAAAATCTTTAATACAATCGGGCCCACATTGAATTGGGATATCTCTAAATTGAGAAGGCGAGCGAAACTATCGACTGCATTAATACCTGATCGAGCAACACTTCGGGTGATATGCCAGACTCCTATAAATCGCAGCAGTGTGGAGGACAAAACACATCGTAAACGTATAGAACAATTTTTAAACGATATCGATCAATTAACGGTACTTACACTCTGTTGACCCAGCATGCTCCTCGCTTTCCTTACTCTATTTTTACATGCGTCCAAGTCCAATCTACATTAAAATCGTTTAACATGAGCAATAAGACTTTTAATATACAGCGCGATAGGAAGCGAAGCGATTTTTTTTGGTTACCTTTTAGTTTCCAATATCGCCATTTCCTTGCTGACAGTCTTCATTTCTCCATCCAAGAACTTCCTCAAAGGCTGTATGTAACAATTGGCGGCAGTTCCTATAAAGTCCCTTTCGATCTGTCCCAATCTCTGCTGACACTGGCCGACCTTTATTAATGAGCTACCTAAAATCAAATCCTTATTATACCAAGTTCTTTTGCATTATATATTTGAGAATATATGTGTATATATATATATGACACTAACCATAAGCTACTCCTGGACCGAAATCATTTCCAGCTTCTATCATATCAGTGCCTACATACTCCAAATTACTCAACCTGTTAGGTCTCCTCTTATCAATTTTTTCATAAAAGAAATCTTCAATCCTGTTGCCTACAAAATATATTAGAATTAATGAAAAAAATGTATAGTACGTACACAAGATTCTATACATTTAAAGTATCAACAATTGATACTCTAATCAAGTTCAAATCAAATTAAATTAATTTGAATTAAATACCAGGATTCGGAGTAAGCACAGCTTCCATATTCCGCAGTATCTTCTCTGTCCATGTTTTGGTCGCATTTCCTCTCTCCGCTAGGTGTTCCAAATGCGCGTCTAGCTCGGTCTTTTCTGAAGTACCCAGGGTCTCCTCCGTCATCTGAGAAACGTGACAGCAAACATGACAGTTTTTAATTTTTCTTGACCAATTTCTAGCGTTTTTAATTTCACCAGCAAACGCTATTAATACATAGTATCTTTAATGCTCTTAAAATATAGTTGCCAACAAACAAATGTGACTTTACGATCGAGCTCAAAGTCCGCGTCATTATTGCGATGCTAATATAGCGTCGGAGGAGGATGACGCGTCTTCGTTCGATTACAGAGGAGCGTCACTGGCGTGTCGATCGACGATGTTGCACGTCGAGACGTGACCAGAGGGATCTAGGTTAAACGGGATGTCGTTGAACGTGGGTTTTTTAGTTTAAGAATTTCAGACGAGAACGAGGAGCGCGGCCGAGGAAGCCGTTCAATGACGTGCAAACGCGTCCGATCGTTGCCTTCGAGCGTCGAATGTCAACGCGATGACAGACGCCGATGATTCGAATGTGCATTTGACGTCGCATTTCGACACAGGTTCCAGACTCGCTCCAGGCGGGAAGGAAAAAAGAAAAGAGGTTCTCTCACCTGCACAACCCTGCTGAGGGCGGCTCCCGCGTCCTTCACCAGTTTCTTCACGTTGAAGTCCATCCTTGCGAATTTAGATCTCTCTCACGCGATCGAGAACTTTTCGCAGCAAACACCCAACCCCTCTTTCTGTTTCTCTCTCTCTCTCTTTCTCACTCTCTCCGTATCTCCCACGCTCCCGCTTTTATCGTAAGGTTCATTAAATGCCTCAGCACTTCCGGAATCTAGAGTTACTAGGAATTTTCGATCGGGTGTCCGGGTGACGGGTGTGTCGTGTCTAGGTATTCATGCCTCATGCCTGTCGGCTGAAGGTGCAAAAATTTTTGTTTTGTTTATCGATCGATTTGGCACATAAGGTCGTTATTTATCTTTCCATTTCACGATACCGCATAATTATGTATGTACGTTATCTACCTATAATTTTCGAAATGTGCGACTCGATGCGATATTGAGTGCTACATTTAACGTTTCTGATAAAAAAATTAACTGTCATGTGGCAATACGTATTTTATTAAATGTAGTTCAAGTCGTGAAGTGACACGACTCGTTTTCTATACAAGGTTTTCACAAAATCGTATTCGACATTGCACCGCTTTATTTCCATTAAAAAAAAATGCAAACAACCTTTCTCTTTTCTTTCCAGAAAAAAAAAGAAAGATAATACCGTATATAACATTGCTACGCATACCCGCTCGCTCTAACTAACGATTAACGCTGTCCTCGCTCGTCTCTACTCGAAAAACTAGATTTCTTAATCAGAAAATGTTGCGCACGTTAACTCTGAGAAAAAAAAAAAAAAAATAGAAAAAGATTGATGATTGAGACAGTGCTCAGGCAGTAATTTCGCGAATGACGACTCGACAATGGACAGATGAGGAAGAAAATTCACGCCTAGCCGAGTACACACGTGTTGGATTCTGCATTGTACTGCAATTTTTACTTCTAATATATATTCATTGTCAATAATTTTAAATTTCCATAATAATACTCTGTGATGTACTCTAGTCAAGAGCGGTTGCGTCTTACTGAACTGATCTTCCTCTCACGTCCCTCAGAAAATAAATTTCTTGTACATACAATATATGACTCGTGAACATGTATGAAATTATTAAAATCCCAATTTTCTTAAATACTGGAATAAATCACACACTGCGAAACATCACATAACAGTATGGTGAAGTGCTCGCATGTTCATTCAGAAATATATTTATTGAGTGGCTTTCGGGAGGGTTCTTTCCCCCTCGCGGTTGTTCCCTCTCGATTAATCGTTGCCCGATTCGTTTCCGAGTCTTCAGTCTCGTTTAACCGACCATTGACCGAGTACGTCCTATTATCTCGTTTTTTTTTTTATTTAATTGAATGTCGGGAACACATGGAAAGAGGATATCTAGCACACGCGCGATATGCGCGTCTCTTCGCGGAGCTGGTACAAAACGTACCGTTGAACAAAATGCGAAATTTTAAAAAAGAATGTAACTCTCGCTGGGAATACAATCGTGCTTGAACGTGCAAACGCATTTTGATGTAATCTTGGCAATGTCAGCAAACTGTTATAACACGCGTAGCGGTCGCATTCATTATTTTCTCCTCGGATGCAATGTTCCCCCAGCAGTTGCAAATCGATAAAAACTAGCACCACGTTCGATGCGGCGGTATTACTTGGATTGTTTTCTTCAATAAAAATAGCTTAATGTTATCGTATCAATATTATCTAATAATAGACAATAATTATCATAACGATAATGCTGGATGACGACGCATTATATCGCAATGACGATCGCTTTCGTAGATCAGTTTCACGTTTGTACTGGAATTCGTGAAACGTTAAAACCGTCTCTGCTAACGGGATATACGAATATCTCGAACGCATTGTCGCATTAATTCACGAACGCAGTTCAATCGCAGGAATGTTAAGTTTAAATGTCTCGAGTCGTTCGTTATCAAGGCATTTATTACACGTTATCGGCCTACTGGTCGATCGTGATTGGTTGTCAATGCGACCTGCCGATCGCCGATAGCTTTCGCGCTCGTGCCCGAGCCTCCGTGCGAATATTTGTGTACTCGAACCACAGGACGTTGGGGATCAGCGTTGTGTCGCGCAGCAACAAGAACTCCGATATTCGCCTGAGAAACAGCAAAGATTAGAGTAGAACGAATAGTATATTGTTATTATTACCGTTATTATGCCATTTTTTCAATTACTCACCACGAGACTACTATAGGAAAGAATGGCGTGAGGATTGTGTGCATAATTATGAACCACGCTGCTCCCAGCGCAATTCCAATTAACGCACCGCAGAATATCTGGGTGTTGGAGTGATACAGTAGATACACTCTGCCGTAAGTTACCAAGATGGCTGTGACGATGCATCCTATCGCTACTATTGTCCGCCAAAATCTCTCGACTATCGTACAGTTATAATTTAACCTGAGGGGAAAAAAAAGTACCATGCAAGTAAATTGACAAGAGCGAGTGATTACGAAGGTAATTTATGACGTTTTTGATTACCTAAAGTATATAAAAAGTGTTGCGTATGCAGCGAAAAACCACATAAATTGTGCATGTGTAGACGGCATGCCGTATTCAGTGTACAGGCCATCTCTCTTCATTGGCCTCGGTTGACGAATCGTGTGTTTTAATACGTAATTTATACATTCATTGATGGCGAGTCCGATCGCAAATGCAATCTGTAATCAAAGAACAAGTATTACACTCTCTGAATTTTAAATTAGGTCTATATATATATTAATATACTATCGCAATTGACTTACGGTATGTAAATCCCTCCTAAAAAGTACCAATGTGACGAAACCAACTATAATGGCAAGGGGCATTTGACTTATTACAGCAAAAAACAGCCCGAAAACATCCCCTGAAAATTTACAAACATACGTTATTGTCAATGACAAATATTCTTCCCATATCCTTTTAGAATTTCAAATACGAGATTTTTCTTAAATTTCATCAAAAGAAAGATTTAATATTCACAGTATAATCCGGAGGTATAAATTAAATAAATTCAGCAAGCATATGTCGACACACAACTTTTTATCCAAATGATCTCCGGAATCCTCGAGCATTTTATCACATTAACATCGCTTTCTACACAAACGTGATATAATTAAATGTCACGATGTCAATCAACGCAGCTGGTTAAGCTCTGTAATCAAGGTAGCTGGTATACGCGCGCTAAACAATCGGTAATGAAACGGAGGTGAAAGCTCGGGGGACCATTTCGGTGACGGTGAGAGACGCCGTGCACTCGTACCCACCTCGCGGGTATTCCACCAGTGTCAGAGACAACGGGACCCACTCGGTCTCGTCGGCGGCACGTGCGAAACGTGACCCGATTCCGTCCGGCGACTCGTCAGGCGATGCCATCGTTATCGCGATCCTCGACGATGTGACATGTCTCCTACGCGGCGTCCCACGGTGAACGGACGCGCACGACCGGTTGGGCGACTGCAGGAGGGGACGAGCCGAAGAGGGGGAAGAGTCTCTCGTATTTACACTCGTGTCGCGACTATGAGATCGTGGCCGCCGCCACCGCCGCGTTGCTGTCCATGCTCGTCCGTCCTGTCGCTGGCATTGACCCTCGGCTACAGTTGGTTAGTTGTGCAAGCACGATGTCGGCGGCGAGACCGAAGGCGCGGGTCCGCCGACGGTCGACGGGGGCCGCCAAACGGAGCACCGCGGAAGCAGGAATCCGCACGTGCCCTCCCGAGCACCGAGCTCGATCGGTTAGCGCCTTCGCAGATGATTCCCCGATCCGAAATCCGCTAGCCGAGATCAGAAAAATAATTTCCATTCGATCGTACGAATCGAATTGCCGACTGTACGAAATTCGTATTCCAAAATTTCACGCAAAAATAAATCGGAAAAAAAAAACGGGATGAAAAATAAAAAAACCGACAGATTCGCGGCCAGGAAGCGTGAAAATGGATGGAAATATTTTGAGGACGCGTTCATGTAACTTTTGTGGATACATGTGCTCTTGTATATCTAAGGAACAATAAGCTTTTATTTTAAACAGGAAATCACCCGTTATCTCGCTCAATTGTGATTCGTTATAAATTATTAGCATGTACAAAAGATGATGAGAGACAAGGCTGCAAAGATGCGACACAGCGCTCACGGTTTTATATAAGCTATGCTATCATTTCATTACATCATATAAGTTCTCTTATAAGTGAAACCACGGTTGATGAAATTAAACAGACGCAGGCGACAGATTACATCGGTCTGCCCATGCCACGTCCCATCGGCGGCTGTGGACCGTCCTGGCTGCTCTTGGGGTTCCTGATGGTCTCGTCGACGGAAAGGATGAGACAGGCGGCCTCCGTGGCGGCGGTCAATGCATTGATCTTCACTATCGCCGGCTCCCAGACGCAGCACTGCATATTATCCGCGATGTCCTCTGAATTTATATCGACACCATACCACTGCCAACCCTTGTGGTGCTTTTGACGCAATTTATTCAAGATATTTGTCGCGTCGAACCCGGCGTTATCGCACAGTTGCCTGTAATTGACACTCATTGTTAATTACATCTCGTTAATGTTCAGATACAATTTAATGCACGGGATAATTTAGAGCAAACGCCTGTGAAGCGAAAAATTTTAATTCGATTCCTGCCACTCCGCGAATCATATAAAAAATTTATAGTGGAACAATTTTATTTTACTTTAATTTTTCATCATGATAGAAACAAAAATCAAATACAAATCCCCAAGTAACTGAATAACTAAAAATCGTGCTTTCCTTGGAGAATTAAAAATTCAAAAGAACATGAATATATACATTGTATATTTATGCATCTGTTTAGTTTTTCACCATGATAGAAACAAAAATCAAAAATAATTCCCAAGTAACTAAGTGACTAAAAATCGTGCTTTCCTTGGAGAATTAAAAATTCAAAGAACAAGAATATATACATTGTATATTTTTGCATGTGTGTGCAAATGTACCTCGGAATAACTTCGAGAGCTCTCGCTATCGCTCCTATCAAGAGCTGTTCCTTTCCCGCGATGGTGCGCGAGTAGTCGCGCAAAGTTTTCGAGATTTCCATCTCGATGGCACCACCGCCAGCAACCACCGCGTCGTTTTTCACCATGCGCCGAACGACCATGATCGCGTCGTGAAGAGACCTCTCCGTCTCTTCAAGAAATTGCTCCGCACCTCCACGCAAAATAAACGTGCACGTCTTCGCTCGCGAACATTCGTAGAAGAAGTTAAACCTGAAGACGCAATTATAAATCATTGCACCCGATCGATTTATATACAATATATACGCTATAATTATAAATACATATCAATTGATGTCATATTAAATTACCTCTCGCCACCAATCTGCTTTTCCTCGAAAGACTGGCATCTTCCGAGATCGGAATCCTTAACGTCGTGCACCGTCGTTAAGATCGCACCGCCGCACGCCTTCATCGTCCTCTTGAGATCCTCATCCGGCACCCTACCGGCGCAGAACATGTCTCTGTCCGCGAAATACTGCGTAGCGACGTCGCCGATCGGTAATGAGGACAGCACAACTTTCGCGCCGCTCTTGTGTATCTGATCGAGCTTATCGTAGAGAATCTGCCACTCGGCGTCGACGACTTTCTGATATTCCGCCACATTGTCCACGCGCACCTCCGCGTTATCCCGTTCGGCCTTCAGTTCCAGCTCGATATTCAGCAACGCGATCTTGCACTGCTCATACTTTTTCGGTTGCATCTCGAATCCAGCGTACGAGAAGGTCTTTTTGAAGGCCACTCCTTGGATCAAGTCCGAATCCTCCAACGCGCCTCCAGAAACCTAAACACGTCCGTACCATTCAAATATCAATTACACTAGCATATTAAAACCTTTTGTAAAATATAAAATCATATGCTTGCGCACCTTTTTAATACCAATCATATTGAGAGGAAGCAATTTGTCTAGCATCATGACAGCCTTGACGACCAATTGGCTGAAATGTTTCTTTTGTTGATGTATCAATTTGGAGCTCATAGATGTGGCCGCGCATTCCTCCAGGAGCTCGATCTGTTTGTTCATGTCACTCTTATCTATCTTGACGCTCAGCTCGTTAATTTTATCCTTAGCTATCTGAAGCGCGCGACGAAGAGCCTTGATAATTATCCGCGAATGTACACCCTCCTCTATAAACGGTTTCATCTGCTTCAAGAACTCGCCCGCTAACAAAACTACGCTGGTCGTGCCATCTCCAACCTGTTCAAATAATAGAATAATCAACGAACTTCCTCTCTTTACTCACACTATTTTATCTCAATATAAAATTATGGAATGTTTGAACGCTTGTGAGACAATCGCATATCTTCAGGCTATTGCCAGTCTATACGTTCTGGATTTAATATCCTCTGAATCCTTTGTAAATATAACATTATCCTCGCGTTATTCAAAGTCGACGTGTTGTGAAAAAACATGTCTAAATTCGTTTTCAGAGGATGAAATATTGATGAGAGTGCAACAACAGTTCTCACCTCAGCATCTTGTGATTTCGCAATGTCAACCAGAGTCTTTGCAGCGGGATGAACGATATCCAACAGTTTCAGGATGGTAGCGCCATCGTTGGATATAGTGCCCTTTCCGTTTTGATCGACTATGAGCTTGTCCATACCACGAGGACCCAGGGTGGTCCGAACGGCGTCCACCACGATCTGGCATGCATTTATGTTGGATATTACTTGTTGCTTTCCCTGGGATGCGTCCGTCCCTTCCTTCAGCAGGATTATTTGAGGTTGCTGCATATAAGAGATAAACAATTAAAACAGATACATTCGGATCAGATTATAGCTTAAATATAAAGGCAGGAAAGATACCCTCGCATATTTTCCCATTTCTGACACTGACAATATATTTTTTTTTACAGATAAATTGCGGAAACAATTGCAAAATCGGAGCGGAGTTCTTGTGTGATAAAAAAAAACGAAGATCGGAATCCGCGTCATTTGAAGATCTACATCGTCAAGATCCGAAGTCGCTGCACAGGAATAGAAGGTGCGGCGCGAAATAGATTTCCTTATAAGGTTATAAGATCAGACCGGAGGACCAGCGACGAGTGACAAAATATCTCTTCAGCTTCGCGAGCGGCGAGGATGTCTCTCGTCTCGGAAGAAAGTGACGTTAGGCAAAAGCGCGGTAATAATAAAAATAAAGCATAAGTGAAACATAAAAGCGAGACACGAGACAAAAAGCACGAGGCGTCGTCCGGAAGGTCGCTTTCGCGGAGACGCGATCGACACGGGACGAACGTTCGTAGACACGATCGGTGACACTTTCGCCTTCCCCACGTTGAAGCTTACCATCTTGGAGTCTCTCTTCCGTCAGTTGGAGATCTTTATCACGCGCGCTATTTGCGAATAAACTTTTTAACGCCTCGCCGACAGAATTTCAACGCGAATGGTGACGGAGCAGAAAACACGCGTTCTCGAGAGGTTCGAGTACCGCATAAAGTCGCCACAGTGCTTCTCCCAGTCAGTCTTGTCCGATTTTCACCTCAGGCGACCAATCAGATTTCAAAACGCGTCCATCGAGCCAAATTTATAACCTTTATAACGTCCCTTTATGCAAATTTTCTAATGTCTTGTAGTTTTTGTACCAAAAAAGGAGAAAAGTTAGAAATTACTTACAGTATTCATTTGAGAGATTCACTTGGGCTTCTTTTCCGAACGACTTCGATTATAACTTAACCTCCTCTGGCTCCTTTGGGCTTTGGGCAGGGAAACAAAATGGCGGCTTTCGATATATCGTCATATCGATTGTGACGCACTCTGACTATCGACTCTAGATATAACCTAGCAAGAACGAACAGACCAGTGCCTGTGCCTGAGTGCCATGTCAGCCATCCCAATGTGTGTCTTGGAACGAACCTCTCTCGACCCTAATGTTGCCCGGTTGCCGTTCGCACCGCGATGTTTTCAGGAAGTAATTCGTTTTCAGGAAGCACGTATCCTTGACAGATACTTGGCTGACAATTATTCTCTCAAGGACGTAGGCACTTCTACCGAGCACTCGATCGCGCGCTACGCGGCGTGATTGTGGGTTGAAAGATCGCGTGTTACGAGTTATCTGCATGATCGTCGCGATATGCAACAACGAAGACGAGCCGCACCCGGGAAGTGAGGTATTTAAACGAATACGGTAATTCCTTCTGCAATTCATACTTTTTATAATCTCTTGCATCTCGAGAGATAAGTTATTAACTTTTCGAATCGCGTTAATCAAAACATTGATTAACAGTTTTTGACGATTCCAGGAATCGCGAGACACGCGAGGGTTTCATTCTCATATTTCGCGGTTACGTAAAACGCGATCCAGATTTATACAAATTATAATTTCCGCAACACAGACAGGATCGCACTCGCACGTTCGCCACAGGTTTATTTTTAAGCGTCGCTATATTTGTATGGATCTGTTGCTTATGATATTGTGTAATACGTCGCTCTATCATCACGCGATCCCGGGGAACGACTTGATCGGGCCCAGTAGGGGTGCTCTTCAGTCATTCCCGCGCTCCTGCATCGCGGCATCGCGCCCGTACGTTTCTGCATTGAGTCCTACATCCCCGACAATCGATACGCGGACGAGTTTACGGAGCTGGCTTGAAGACCGCGTCGCCAGACATAATTTTTTCTTCCTTTTCACCAGAATCAAACCGCGGGGACGAGAAGTGAGTTAAATCGCGTTCGAAATCAACGGACATTGGCAAAATTATCGTTGTTGTGTCAGAATAGTTCACACAAGTGTTATTTCAAATCAGTTTTTGTAGTTTAACCTGTTCTCCAACCTCTTTTCCGTTTAAATTAAAAAAGAGGCTTACGCGAATGCTTTCAGCTTTATGAAATTTAATGTGTTTTTTTTTTTTTTCGATAACGTCAGATAAATTGATTCAAGAGCTGTCGATTTCTCATATCTCGCTTTTGTACTTAGCTCCGCGACACATTTTGGAGAAAGTTCAAGGTGATGAGATACCGGAAATGTCAATGGGCTCTTTCGAGGGCGCAGGCGCGTCTCGTGGAAGACAACCATTCGAGAAATCGATATGTTTGAAATTGTACTCGGTTTAAATTATTTTCTAGGATATTAAAAGATCTTTTGAATTTTCGATGCAAGAATCTAAAAAATTTAAGTGTAAACGACTATAATTAAGAAAGGAAATTTATGTATATATTTAATGAATTTATAAAAAAATGAATTATATTTATTACGAAGGGCCCGCAAATTTGTTGAAAAATCGAAAAAAAACGAGAAATTGCATCTTTTTGAATTGAAAACATATTAGAGTCTTTTTTCATTGAATTTTTCAAGAATTTTTAAATGGAATTTTCAGTCTAACGTGAAGAGAGGAAAGTTACGCCGGCAAGATGAAAACGATCTGGGTAATCGGCGGTCCGGGATGCGGCAAGGGAACGCAATGTGACCGTATGATCGAAAAGTATGGATTTCTTCACTTGAGCAGCGGCGATTTGTTGAGGGCGGAAGTTGCCAGTGGCAGCGAAAGGGGTGCGTCACTTCAGGAACTGATGTCCAAGGGGCTGTTCGTGCCAACAGTATGTATTATTCGAATGTAATTGATTTCAATGTCTACGAGCTAGTAACTTACATTTACATTAATTTAATTAAAAATAAAAGATTAGAATATTTTGCTGTTTTATTAAAAATATAAGATTATTAAAAATATAAGTTAAAAATGGAAGATTTAAAATCGAAATTGCGTGCGCGCCGAAGAGATAACCGAATAAAAAAAAATAAAAAAAATAGAAAAGGAAATATATCGCGCGTCTTACGCGAACAAACCCGGTTTTCCTCAGTGTGAAGATCATGTCGTTTCGCTAGGACATTGTGCTGGAGCTCATAAAGGAACAGATGGATAAAGCTCGCGAGGAAGGAACTACAAAGACCGGATTTCTCATCGATGGCTATCCTCGTGAGAAGGATCAGGGAATTCTCTTTGAAGAAAACGTAAGACCCTCGCCCTTCTCTCCTCACTATCTCTTCCACTTTAAATTACAAATATGTTGCTGCGCAGGTTTGCCCCGTCGATTTAATTCTCTTCTTCGATGTAGCGAATGATACCCTGAAGAAGAGACTCCTCGGACGCGCTGCCATGTCCCAAAGGGCAGATGATAATGAGGAAACAATCAAAAAGAGAATCGAGATATTTAATGCGAAGAACAACGAGATTGTCGAACATTACAAGGATAAAGTTGTCAGAGTAAGTTCAGATTGTTGCGATGTACTTTTTTTTTCATTCATCCGCGACCGTCGCGTATCTTAAAAACTTGTATAAACTTGTATAATAATTTTTTTTTTCAGATTAATGCGGAAGGAACGGTGGATGAGATATTCGCCGAAGTAAAAAAAGCACTAGACGCTTTGTTAGCTTAGACAAATTACATCAGAAACTTTTAAAATACCGCAAGATTTGTTGCTCTTTAAAAACAAATCGTTACCAAAATTTACATTCTAGATGATGTTGGACGCTTACTCAAATGAAGTCTACATGTACAAATTAGGTACTTTTGATTGTTGATTGTTGAATAAACTTGACGTAGAACTGCAGACGTAGAAGTCTGAACTGTAAGGACATTTGCATCGTTTATTCTAATAATTTATTTTTTTAGGCAAAATTTTCAAACTAACATTTTAATTATAATATAAAATAAGTTGAAATTAAATTTTCCTTGAGATGATCCGCATACTCTGCATTAACTTTTAACAGTTTTGGCAAATTGTACAACCATAGGCTTATCTTTTAATATATATCCGTTCGTTTCGTCGAGAGCCATTTTCGCCTGTACGTCATTTTGTAAAGTTATAAAGGCTTGCCCCTTCATTCTGCCCTCTTGCATAAGGCGTACATCGTAGCTAGAATATAGATTAATCAAAATACATGAGATAGCATATAAACTGTAAATTGCAATAATATTATAACATCAGTAAAATACTCACTCATTCTCGGCGTCTTTCAGTCCAGCAATAACATATCTTTGGTAAATATAATGTAGATCCTTCATTTCCACTTGCTTTGCAAGATTTTTTATGTAGAGGCGATTAGAAGGTTTGCCCGGGGGATAGTTTTTGAATACAGGAAGCAATCTCTGATCGTTAGCAGATATCTTATTAGCCGCCAATTCCTCGGAAGTTATAAACTTATTTTTTTGCATCTCAACATTCTCTTCACTGCCCTTCGCGTCCTCAGTAGTTTTACTAGCCGGGAATATTAAACCAAAACCACCATCTATGGTCACAGGGTTATCTTGACTAGCAGACGTTGTATCCAACGACTTGTCCAGAGTTTTTAATTCAATCTTGAGATTTTTAGTCTCCCCGCGTTGAACAGATTCGAACATATCTTCTGGCTTGAGCACTTTTTGAGTGGACGAAGGAATCGCAATGTGTTTAGCGGGGTTCACAAACTTTGGAATCTTCAAACGTTTTGTAGGTTGCGGCCGTTTTCTCTTGATAGGGATAACTTCTAGAGGTCGAGCATTACCTTCCCCATCTGATTCTAATTCGGACTCTTCTTCCTCCGTTTCCTCTTCGTTCATGCGGTCGTGAAATATATCTAAACAGAAAGAATGCGCTTTATTTATTTAAATTTTCTCGATTGTTATTTATAATTATGTTATTCATTATTATAAAATACCTTTGTATTTCTCCATATCATACACTTCCTTAAGCATGGGAAATTCTGTTTCTAATTCTTCAAAGGGAGGAGGTAAATTCATCTTATTCATCAAGTGCAACACCTACGAATACATGTGACAACTGTAATGTTGTCAAAAAAGCTCTAATAAAGTTCTATTAAAATAGAATTTTGCAACGAAGATCTGACGGTTTACCTGCGTATAAAAAGCTGGTTGGATTAACAACTGTATGGCTATCCTTGTTAATGTACTTCTCGTTGGTGTCATGTATTTGTATCTTATGTTCGGCGGAGGCGGTTGACTGAATTCGTGACTCATCGTCCAGTTGTTTAATTTCCTTAGGAATGCTTGTACATGAGACTTACTGACGGTTTCCATTTTTGCATCGTTGTTCACTGATTTGTGTTCGATGCCTTGCTCCGAAAGTTCAGCAAGTTCAACAGATGATCTCTTAGCATATTCGACCGACAGATATTGTCCTCTGACATTTAATTGATGCAGACGCAGCAGTGCCTCCGCTGCCAGTTGTTGGGATGGAAATTTGGCGAAGGTAACAGTATACTTGCTGGACGGTCGTATCGTTTTGGTCTTGGTTGCACCATATTTCTGCAGTAATGCATCACGCCGGTCGTCAGAAAGTTGCGGAGGCAAATGAAGGATCCTCAGAGTATCACATGCCTAGAAAATATGTTGGAATATTCGCGATATGTAAAATTAGATTTAACTATGTAATAGGTTAGGTTGACAATTCTGATCTATGAAAATTAAAGTTTGATCTTTTAATCAATTTAATAATGTCATATAATTACCGGAATCATTTTCAATGATATGTTCTATTGTACTTTTAATGAAAACAGGAATAATCTTCACTCGAGCTGTCACCAAACAATTCTGACGAAATGTATATTTCTACCATGGATGCGATATAAATACTGTCAGGTGGTCACGTTTGAAACTGATTATTTTCCTGTTTGATTGCGTTTCCATTGATCTCGAACACAGCCATTCACAGTGATCGATGGAGTTTATCCACTGGGACCAAAAATCAAAAGTCCTGTGTTGAATCGGTCAATTGATAACGTGGACAATCAAGCAACGAGCAGGTTAGTTGTTTTGTCCGATTGAACGTCTAGAGGCGCCAATAAACAAGTTCACATTTAAAACGCGAGCACGTCCACTTTTCTCAGTTAATTCTATTATTTATGTAAAATATACATATAATTTTACATATTTTATCAACAAAGCATTAAGTTAAAGATAAGATTAGCAATTAAAAATATGAATTATAATAAATTACAAATAAATATTTAAATACGATGCGATTAAATATCTTTAATTACTTTCTCGATCCGAGAAAATTAAAGGTATTAAAATAATGCCTTAATATGTGTATATTATATTACTATTAAAATAAAAAAGTAGGACTGAGAAAAAATATATAGGCTCGTAATTTAGTATTTACATTTGTATATATATTATATTATATGTATATATATATATATATATATAATATATGCTACGAGCCACTTGGGCTACGTTCGTGTTGGTGCTTATACAGTTCTCACAGCATCATTTCATTCTTGTTGTTTATCAAATGTTAAACCAGGACAAATTATCGATGTTTATAAGCGCTGTAAGAGCCTGTAAGCGACAAACTTACCGAACGAAGCCTTAATATTATATAAATGCTTTCAAACATTCTTTAATTGATGAGTTATTAAACGTCTTCCTTCTGAATGATCAATAATGCTTCGAAACATTTGTAGCGTCAAGTGGAGCCATAAACATTCGTTTATTACAACATCCGTTATTGGCATCGTCGTTAGTCCTTGGCAGTCCTTGGTGGTCTCTTGAAATGGTAAGATCGATTTTTGTATATTAATGTTTTGAGCTATAATTTGATTTGTATTAAATATCAGAAATGTTAGAAATGTTTTCAGTGTTATCTACATTTTATTTGATTTGATATTTCATAATGAATATTTATAATTAATTTAAAATCATATTTATTTATTATATTTATTATTAATTTTTATTATTAAAATAAAAATTAATAATAAAACAAAAAAGTAAAATATACATTATTGATTCTTTTCACATTATTTATTAATATTTCACGTAGAGATCAAATATAAATACGCAAACGTCACAGAATTAACAAGTATTAATTCTAGTTTATTCATACATTATAAATATTGTCATGATAAATGCATTAAAACGTTCATGAGAAAGCATTGATTTCTCAAGAGAAACTACTTGTCAAGATATGTACAAAACGTGTGTACATTGCACGTGAATATTTCTACACGATATGTTTCTATACAATAAAAAAACTAGCTGCCACATTTAAGATTCTACATTTTTGAAATGATGTGTCATGGATATTTTCTATGCGAGATATCAAATATAGTTAATAAATATAAGAAACAGCATATCGTGTTATACAGTCAGAATATTGCATACAAGTCCCGCAACCATTCCCAGTATCAGATATTAATAATTGAAAAAAGATACCTACTGAACGATAATTTTATGAAAATTGGAATTATTTACTATTTATAAATATGTCTTCTTTTATGCATATCTTTTGTCTAATTATTGTATATTTAGTGACGAAAGCTAACAATTTTTGATAGAATTGCACATTTATATATGGTATCAGCAAAAATAAATAATCTCCAATTTTAATAAAAATTTGTTCTTGCACTCAATCTATTGCAAAGTTATACTCACACTTGTCAATATTAATTATTAATAGACTCACTATTACATCTATTGCTGACTAAAAATTGCATAATGGCAGTTTGATAAAAATAATTATAATCCAAGACGACTGCCGAAGATCTATTATTAAATTTTTAATCGAGATCTTCCGTAGCCATGTTGTTATATGTTTTATAAGTACCGTAAATTATTGAGTAATATTGCACTAGCAAAAATAACTTTTTGCACTAGAATAAGCAATAAGTACAATATAGTTAGAAATATTTTAAGATTGTATATTTTCATAATTTAAAGCGATAAACGAATGTCATGGATATCGCGTATTAATAATCATTCATACAAATGTCTAATTACTCTAACATTTATGGCAAATTTGCAATTAATATTTATTAAGAGTCTAAAAATAGACGTCATTAATCAATCAAGAGAAGCGTAACATTCTGGCGGAAAGATTAAAATCTTCGATTGGTACTTGCAATCGATCGTTCCAGTCAATTTTGTTTCTATACGACAAATGTGAACACATTGGGAGACGCGTCACTCGTTCACATCTTCTAGAGACCGACCAATAAACAAAGTTTTCGGGACATTTATAGAGATATCCTTGTAAACTGTTTCGGGTATCGCGTTTACACTTGTAAAAGATATTGCTGCAACCTTGTCGATAAGGGAAATGTCCTTCTTGCGGACAAAGCTGATTTGAAGATACTTTTACCTAAATCGAAAAAAAAACATTTTGTAAGAAATATTTTCATCACAAGTTAATTTAATTGATTAGAAATACTTACGGGTGATAAAGCATGGTCTTCTAATCTTCTATAAAATCTCGCGCTTGTTCTGGTGCCCATGCATGGCTGACTGCTTTTACTTGCAGATAGACATTGAATCTTTTTCTCATCGAAAATTGTATTTTCGGGACAACTCAATATAAGAATCTTGATTTCCATGTTGCCTTCGGAAGTACACTGATAGAATAAATTGCAATATTTTGGATGCCTTCGGAAACCACTAGGACAAACTAAAGTTATTTGCTCGTCGGTCAAATTGCCTATAGAACAAGGCGCCGCGACTCCTGGTTCCGCTGTTGTCGATTCTGATAATTCAGTCGTCTGTTCCTGTGATTCTATCGTGGATTGTTCCTGCAATTCAGTCGTTATCTGCTCTTGAGCTTCTGTACTGGATGGTTCTTTTGACTCTGTTGTCGATTGCTCCTGGGATTCTGTAGTTGTTGATTGTGCCTGGACTTCTGTAGACTGTTCTTGAGATGTCTCGGTCGTAGACATTTCAGACTCTGTGGAAGCATTAACTTCCGTTGTAGCTTCGCTACTCTGTTCAGAGGTGCTAGAATCTGTAACGGATTCTGTGGTGGCTGTAGTTGATGCAGCCGTAGACTCTATCATGCTTTCGGTACTGTCTATCATATTTGACGTTGTTGATTCTGTACCAGAAGCGGTAGCGCTTTCCTCTGAAGTAGTCTCCATGGATGAAGTCGTCGCACCAGGCTCTGTGGATGTCACTGTGCTTTCTTCTGTTTGCTGAGCTGCGCTCTGTGTTACAGTAGTAATTTCCATTGATGTCGAATGTTCAGGCATTTCGGATGGAGTTGTTTCTGCGTTGCTTGAAATATTTCCAGTCGTACAATCTTTTGCGGGATAAACGGATTCAGGATAATTACATACATTGATGCTAGAATCAAAAATAGTGCCTGGTGCACAATCGAAATGATATACGTTGAAACCATTGCCATTATTAACACAGCGATAGAATTTATCACATCTAGTTGGATGTGGATAAAACCCTTCGTCATTGCATATTATTCCATTGCTCGGCTTCGGCTTTTGTGTGGCACAGTCTGGTGCATGTGACTCAGTAGATGAAGATGATTCTGCAGGTGATTCAGAAGTAGGTGAGGATTCAGACGAGAGTGAACTTTCTGTAGTGGAGCTTCCAGGCATTTGAATCTCTTCTGGTCTTCCTGTAGCAGGATTTTCGCTAGTAGATGTAACAGTAGTTGTCGACGATGACTCTGTTTTGTCTGTTTCTGGTGTAGTTGATTCGGTAGACGTTTCACTTGAAGTACTAGCAGCTGTCGTGCTTTCAGTGGAAATTGAAACTGAAGATGATGACGTAGTCGTAATTGTCTGACTAGAAACAGTAGTCGTGGAACTACTCGTAGCAGGAAGCCCAGATGTAGAACCGGAAGTACTGGGATTTTGATCAATTTTATTGCTGTCTGTTGAACATGAAGTTACTTTCTCAATATGATTACACGTTTGTATTGATTGATCCCATGCTGTACCAGGCCCGCATTCGAATTCGTATTTTTGATATCCGGATTGAGCTTGTACACAACGATAGAATTTTTTGCAATCATCAGGATCCGAAAAGAAACCTTCTTTAACACACTCAGATTTTCCATTCTGAGGCGAAGAGGCAGTAGATACAGAACTTGGCAAAGTAGTTGTTGCAGTGCTACCATCGGGTGGCAAATATGAAACAGATTCAGATGTAGATCCAGAAATTACATTGGTAGTTGTACTCGAAGGTGGCAAGTAAGATACGGAAGTAGTAGTCGTTTGTGTTGCAGGAGGAACATAAGAAACAGATTCGGTAACTTGCATTGTCGAAGGTGAGTATGTACTGGGTGGCAAATAAGAAATTGACGTCTGAGACGATGCAGTGGGATTATTTGTACTCTCAGGTTGAGTTGAAGATTGTATTTCTGGTTTTGAAGATGTTGATGGGAAGATCGAGCTTTCAGAAGATTGTGATGGTAATTTGCTTGTATCTGATGGTCCAATGGTACTGCCTATTTCATTCGACGATGTGCAGGGTTTGTCTGTAGCTGCACCGTTTGCTTGATTACAATGTGGTACAGCATAAGCGTGATTGCAACTCTGAAGGGACGCATCCCATACGGTTCCAGTACCACATTGAAAGTCGTATTTCGTGAAGGAAGACATGCCATTATCGACACATCGATAAAACTTGCGACAATCTTGTGAATCAGCAAAAAAGCCTTCTGCTGTACAAAGACCTAAAATAAGATTTTATTTATATATTGAAACTTTAATATTCCTCTGGTCTAAAAAATTAGGGGATTAAATTTTCTCTGTATAAATTTTTACTCATTTTTAAATTTTAGTTACTTACCGAATAATTGACGTAAAAAGTAGATCAAAAAAAAATTTTACAGGGCAAACTCTTTACTATAAGATGCCTTTGTTCAATTTTTTAATACCCACTTTAATACTCAAAGGTGTGATCAGTTTTGAATAAAGACGTATTTGACACATCTAAAATCTCCAAATTTGTGGTCTTCTACCATCAAACAAAAAAATTGGCGAAAATAATCATTGGTACCATCTCAAAGTACGGACTTTGCCCTTTTAAATGAAAAAAAAAAACTTTTTCCTACGCCGATTATTTAGCAAGATATTGCAATTTCAAGTAATCTCCGATTTCTTACGATTTTTACCTTATATGCTAAAATCGTAAAAAAAAAACAGATTACTTGAAATTGTAATATTATGCTAAATAATCGGCGTAGGAAAAAGTTTTTTCTTTTCATTTGAAAGGGCAAAGTACTTTGAGATGGTGCCAATGATTATTTTCGCCAATTTTTTTGTTTGGCGGTGGAAGACCACAAATTTCAAAATTTTAGATGTGTCAAATACATCTTTATTTAAAACTGATCACATCTTTGAGTATTAAAGTGAGTAAAAATTGAGTAAAGGCATCTTATAGTATAGAGTTTGTCCTGTAAAATCCTTTTTTGATCTACTTTTTATGTCAATTATTCGCTGAGTAACAAAAGTTTAAAAATGGGCAAAAATTTACTGAAAAAAAATCCCTTAATTTTTTAGAGCAATGCATTTAATTTTAAGAACATACCTGATGATGATTGATTAGCAGATGAATTTGGAGAATCTGGAATTGCAGGAGATCCAGGAATACTTGAACTGCCTGGAGAATTCGGCGTCCCCGGATATCCCGGAGAACTGCCAGGACTACCCGACGAGCCTGCTTGGCCATTTGGATCTCCAGGTTGTCCTGGTTGACCATTTAAATCTCCAGGTTGTCCTGGTGGACATTTAAATCTCCTGGTTGTCCTGTTTGGCCCGGACTGCCAATATCACCATTCCATTGTCCATTATTATCTCCACTTTCCAAGTTCTGCCTGCAGTTTTTCCTTGTAACAGCCCAAGCGTGATTACATGCTTGAATTTCTGGATCCCAAACAGTTCCTTCGCCGCACTTAAAATCATATTTTCTAAATTGTCCGTAACCTTCGTTAACGCATCTATAGAATTTTCTGCAATCACAAGTATCGGCTAAAAATCCTTCTTGCGTACATCGATATTCATTTTTACAATTAATAACATTATTTTCCGGTTCGTCTATATTAGCTGGTCGATCCGTTAGCGGTGGTTGCAATGTTGTTACTGGTTTTTTTATTGTTGTAGCCTCAGTCGTAATTGTAGAAGGTTTAGTTATTAGAGACTGCATCGTAGTTGGCTGCGACCACTTAGTTGTTCGTAATGTTGTTGTCCATATGGGGGAAGGAGGATTTTGTCCATTCGAATCGAGTTCATTCTGGGAACTACCACATTCAGGCCGACCGCTATCTTCAGGATGTGTACAAATATCTCCTTTATCCTTTGAAAATACCGTGCCTACTCCGCATTCAAATTTAAAGGTCGTCAGCGGGCTGCCGTTGCCCCAATCTACGCATCTATAATAAATCCTGCAGTCATGCGGATCGGGATGGTAACCTTCTTCTATACATTTAAAGGGAGCATTGCTCTGTCTGTATTGGTCTTGACTATACCCGTAATAATCTGCAATTCAATATAACTAATTCTCAACTCTCAATTCAAAATTTGACTGACCAAATAATATCGTATCATTCTTATTTATTTAAAACTTATTTTCTATTAATTTCTTCAAAATTAAATATAAAGATTGTAAATCTTCTTCAATAATCTTAATTTATAAAAGATTAAATAAATTAAGATTAAAACAAAGAAAAATATTAAATAGCTCTCACCAGCTTCTGTCAGTCTTGATATGATCAGCGTCGCGAAAACGCTCAAGATTAATCGCACTTTCCACATCTTTTGCATCCAATTCAATTTTGTGTTATCTATAATAAGAAACATAATAAAATCACTAATCATTATTATAACGCAAAAGAATATTTTGAGTTTGCGATCTTTTTATATTTTCATCTGATTTCTACTGATTATCTTGGCTATTGACCCTACCATTTCGAGGAATGTCTATCGACTTCTGCTTAACGATTCATCTGATAACGAAAGAACATCTTAAAGTGCGTTAAAGTCTACATCAAAGAACGTCATCGCGTGCACTTTATCTTTTCAACTATGTACTTGCAGCACTATCGATTGTGCAGTTCACTGCTGTTTATCGAGATAGAGGCTGCGAGCAACGTCGAGAAACTGATTGTGAGATCTGTGCAATCGGAAATGCTCGCAGCATAAATCGCCATTGGCGACGATATACAGATATATAGTTTAGCATTAATTCTAAATCTTTTTAAGTATTTTATTAATATAAAATAACTAATTTCAACTTTATTTATATAATTTATATAATTTAAAAATTATTGTTTAAACAAGAATAAAAACATTTATTATTGAGAAGATATGCATATAATTTTTTTATAAAAGATAATTTTGAATCAAACATCTTTTTTAAGTAGAGGCCTATGGGAGCCAACACAAATGTTGGTGTATGATAATTTTTACAATATCTAATCACACGTAAACTGTGCGCCGCATATTCGTCGGTCTTGAAACACAGTTCATTACATGAGGCTGGAATCACTTATAACAAATTAAATCCATTACCAATTTAATCTCTTTGATGCTAATATGCATCTATAAGAATCCCCTCCCTTCGAAATTTATTGCGAAAAATATCACTAAGGTGATATTTTTTATTTATACTTTTATATGTTTGATTTATTGTCGGAAACTTATTTCTCTAAATTATTTTAATTTAAATCGATTTCAATCTTTTATTGATCTTTCCTTCTTTAGTCTAGTGAAAAGAATATTACGTGAACATAACATGATAACTGCATTTTCTTGGAGTTTGGTCATAACTTAATCGTAATCGTATATTTCAATATCACGTTCAGAATTTGTGAATTCAATCAATGTCAATTGTCAATGCCAATCGTACATTGCAAAATTTTTTTCATACAGATAAGCAATTTATTTGTTTGCATATCAACTTTTAGAACCGTTTAAAGTAAAATCAGGCTTAATATTAATTTGATCGTTCGATTTTACTATTTGTTTTCTGTAATATAAAGATATATTATTACAATTAAATTTCCCTTAACATCATTAGAATAAAAGTTCGAATTTTCAAACTTTTAATATACGCTACAGCTGATATTTTAATTATATTAAATTCATGTGAATAACCTACATTACAAAAACGTGATGCTTGGAGAAATTTCCGCAGCGTTGAATGAAACATTTTATAGCGCGATGTTGTAGGCTTCGTTTACACGTTGATCGTTCCCTGAATGCTAATCAAGATTATTCCACGTGGCCGTTGCTTTCGATCAAAGGCGCGTTTACGATTATGCGAAAGAGCATGCAATCTATTTTGCATGCTAAACATTAGTGACAGTGAATGCAAAATAAATAATAGATCAAAAAGATACATTGAACTTAACTGCGTTTAGGTTTACGTAACTATAATTAGTTTTATATTTGCTTTGATATTGTATATTAAATGCAAATTTCAAAGAAAAGTTTAATTGAGAAAACAGTTTTTAATTTGCCAGTTATATCTTTGAGGCTTATTGTTAGCTATGATTTTTTTTACGAGGAATCATATTTTTTGTAACATGAGTAATTACATGTCCTCTGATGGCTATAAGTATTTCAGTTTATTTCTATCATTTATTAATGTGACTGTAACTTATGTTCATCCCTTGTTTACCTCCCTTATAGGCAATTAACGTTGCGCAAAATTCCACGTTGCATCGTGAAATATTGCAGACATTTTATTGCGTGGCGCATCGCTACGTGCATAAAGCATAATGAGGAGCCGTTTGGCTGTTACTATCGTTTACTATCGAAGTGTAAACGGATACCCTAAGCTGCGGATATAAATGCCAGACGGTTCGAAGGTGCACGCAAGTAATGACGGGCTGTTAGGGATGTAACACGACTTATTTATAAACCGATTCAGACAGGTCTACCACCTGCTGTTGTTGCTGCTGCTGTTGCTGCTGCTGTTGCTGCCACTTCGGGGAATGGAACTTAAACGAACTCGCAGCCTCGGACGCATTCCAAGGACAACGTGCCTGGCGTATCTCGCGGTTTGTCGTGCAATTAACCCACCCTCCGTCGATGGATATCTCGACTGGCAAGAATCGACATCGCTGAATTAACCGGCTTCCTTCTCTTTCTCTCTCTCTCTCTCTCATGCGGTGCAATGTCGCGAGAAGAGCGTTTGCACATCGAGCCTTCTATAATCTCAAACATGTAAGTACGTAAAACTATTTATTTAATTATTACGCATGTATTACGTTGCAAGGACACGTCATAACAAAATGCTGTTTTTGATCGCGTAAAGTAATCTGGTTTAAACAATGCGCAATTGGCCTTTTAGTTTATTTGCCTTCACGTAATAATCGCTGATATTTGTATCGGCAAAGCACTAATTCGACTTAAATGTAAATCGAATGCGATATCGTTTCTTGCGATAGGAGTCTCTTAAAATGGTAAAATTACTGATAACACTATCTGCTATCTCCACAAAACACACCACGTCGTTGTTTATTAATATACAGATTATTATAATAAATAGTATATATTTAATTTGCATCTCCAAGGCATGTAGATAAGAGAAGAATGTTTGCGCAAAGCATTTGATTTACTTTTACATCTTCAATCATAAGAGACTTACTACACCTATCCAAATACGGTCAGATTACAATTTTTAACGTACATTTGTAAAAAAAAAAAAATGTTTAATCAGACAGAAAGATGAATAAAATTAATTGAATAAATAATAATTAATTTATTCGTAGATAAACTATAAAGTACCAAATTGAAACAATATGAGCTTAAATGTGCACAAATGTCGGTGCGATAAAAAAATAAATGTAAAACGAGAATGTTGCATGTGCAGAATAACTTTTTTAAAACGCGCGATCGAGAGAACATCTTTATCGCAGCCTTTAGAAGGACTTCAGAAAAAATTGCATAATAGCGCACAGGCCGCATTAACTTTGTAATTATTGACAGTATATTTGGCTACAATTTGTAGAAAATTTTACGCCAAGAGTTTTCTCGGAATTTGACGACAATTCGAAAGATGATTGTTTAAATAGGCGCGAGATATTTAACAATTTTATGATTAATTAATTACAACGTTCGCGATATCCGGAATTTGGTAGTTTAAATGGACGCGGAAATTTTACTGTCTTCTATTTAATTAAACCGAAACGATTTCGGAGCTTGCGATCGTTTTTGTTAATTAAATAGAAGACAGTAAAATTTCCGTGTTCATTTAAACTACCAAATTCCGGATATCGTGAACGTTGTAATTAATTAATCATAAAATTGTTAAATATCTCGCGCCTGTTTAAACAATCACCTTTCGAATTGTCGTCAAATTCCGAGCAAATTTTACGCCAAGGGTTTGCTACAAATTATTATGTGCCTTCTTCTTTTATACAAGATTAAAAATTTAACAGTTTTTATTGCTTTACGAAAATAATAAAGAACAAGGAATTTACTAGTCTGGATAATCGATTGTAAAGTACCGATAATCTAATTGTGGACGAGCGTCGCTCAATCTCGTTTAAAAGCCATGCTAACAAGTTTGACAAGCTTGAGATCGCCCCGTTAAAGGTAATAAATTCTTACTTGATTATCATTTGCTGGAAAGATTGATGACATGATTGCAAGTCGGTCTCGAGGCTTTTTATAGAACGATGAAAGTATATAATTATACGCTTCAACAACTCTTTTTGCATTATAAGATATACTTTTTCCTTGACCGTACATATGTTCACTTTGCATAAATGTTAAAAAATTATAAAACGGTAAAATGTTATTATGAATGTAATTAGTTTTAGAATTACATCTTCGAATTTTTGTATATAAATAAATCTTTTCTTGTTTTCGTCTTAGAGATAATTTTCTTCAAGTAACTTCACACGCGAAACGAAGCCTGACCTCGAATTAAAAACGATTATTGGAATCCTCGACACGGTGACGCTTGTTAATCGCGTGGAACATGTTTTAAGAAATAGTAATCTATAATTAACCTTGTCTTCAAACATCACTGATAACACCGTAATAATAGAAAATTAGCAGAAAATGTAAGTGTATATATTTCCTTGAGTCTACACGTCCTTTGCGCGGTCGACGATCGATTTGATTCACCGCACAATTATTTTTTATGGATAATGAAGAATAAGTGGTATGCGATTATTATTTTTTATTCAGAATACGAACAGTTGAAGGACATATCGATAATAATGTATCGAATGTTTCTAACGAAGGTTTAGTTTCGAAATCGTTAATAAGTTGCATTAGCAAATGTAAAGCTTGCTTTGGAAAATTTTTGAAGTAAATGCTCAAGATTACACCTTGTGTGGGATGCATTCGGACTGAAGCAAAAGCTAATCGAGGCACAGAAAACCTGTTACATCGTGACGAAGAAAATAGTAACATCTCAGTCTGCAGGCGATGATGCGGTACAGTGAACCTGAGCTGTTATGATAGCGTACAGCGTAAGTGCAACCTTGCCGTTGAAAGTAGCAAGGTCGTTTCTTCTCCCGCCAATTCCACTTTTGCCTTTCCTGCCGATATGTACTACACTGGTGTCCAGTGGCGTGGGAATGACGAGAAGTCATACAAAATCCGAAATAATTTGTAACACCTATCAAAAGAATATTTATTATAATACAAGAAATATGTGTCTTCATTCAGGAGTTCTGTTCAGAATATTTAAATATTTATATAAAATAATAGTAACAGGAAGTATTCACCGTTCATGTCAGTTATTTAAATTAACTACTTATTGTTTTAAAAAAGTGAGATAAATTTTCAGCCAACTCATATGTAACATGTACATATATAATATATATGTATGCAAATACTTTTCTTTTCAAGGTGAAAAGTTTTCGTTACGTGAACAAAGTGCAATATAAACTTGTCACTGAATTAATGATGTGTAGCACAACGTTATAAAAATTCGCATGACGTTCGTCAATGACAACTGTGAATTTCTTCGTGGCCAGCAACATCATCTCCAGACTTTCCTTGCAGCGTCGCAATTAAAGGGATCCTTGTAAATTGTAAGCGTGAGTCTCTTCTCAATTCCCTCAGTTTCTTACTATCCTCTTTGCACGTTCCTACGCCTTTTTTTTCAAATGTTCCCTTCATTTGCTACCATAATCATGTAGGTATCCCGTAGATCTATCATGCGTCGTGCGTAAATCCGTCACTGACACTAGCCTGCGTGTAAGGTTCAAGGCTATCTTGGCTATACACGTCGCATATATCTTTAAGAAAATGAGAAAGCTGCAGGTGTGAATTAGCGTAGGCATAAATAGAGCATAATTACGAGCCGCGATGAATCAATGGAATCGTCGTGTTCATAGTAAGAACCTTGTTTGGTGCAATTAATGACCACATTGAGCTGTCGATATAATGCACTATATAGTTGGCAATATACGCGCAGAGCGTGGAATTTATATTTTTTTAAACAGTAATTTGCAATAACCTCTGAGTGTGTATTTAAATAAATTATATTAAATATTTAAATGCATTCTTTTTTAATTCTTATTTCGTGATTTAAAATTGTATTCATGAGGATCAATATTACATAAATGTAATTGTAATCCGCATGGGAAACAATACAGTAAGATTTTACTGAATATTTTTTTCTATATAGGGAATACGATTAAACACGCGTGATTGCCGTGAGTCAATTTCGAATTTTCCTTTATACGGCAACTTTTTACCTTCCTTTTGAAAAATTGTGCAAGGCTGAACTCTCTGGAAACGTTAAAATATTGTCAATAACGGAAACATTCCTTGTATCACATAATGATAAACAATTTTTTATAATTATGTATTTTTTTGTAAAGATCAATTGTTCTTACGGCTATCTCAGATACGGCTTCACGTAGCGTTTCTTTTTACGTTGGTTTTTTTATGACAATTTATAATTAATGTGAAAAATATTTTTATATTACAATAGCACTAAAATAATTATTAATTAATTATTTATTCTTACAATACTCAGATTTAATTGTAAAAACTGTATCAGTCGGTGTATTGTTTTGCAAGACCATCTTTCTTCTCATTAAAAGAAATGGAAAAATTTTTATACGTGATTCACTCAATACGTTTTGCAACAAATTTTATATTGCAACATCTCATAGATATTCTTTATAATAGTTATTCTTTTCACATTTATCTGGATCATCGCTTATCTTATAAACATTTATTTTGTACTGTACGTGCAATTTTTACTTACGTACAATACGCATATTGTGCAGCAATAATTAAGTAATATGTCAGGATCAAGTTCGCATGATCGCTCGTTATACGGTGCACGTGCGGCGTTTCTTTATAGCGCATCAGACCGAAAATTAATTTTAAGACCGGTATCAGTTAAGGTTGCTGCCGTTTACAGATTACGAAATACTGCACGGACGTACATAATGCATTATGCGCCCGCGAGCGGACCTGTTTATTTCTTGGCCGATCGCTTTCAATGCCAAGATCGAACGATGGTTTGATCGGCCGCGCTCGAGCCGAGCATGCGAAGCGCGGAATGTCGATCCAAATACAGCAGCCGTACGGGCCGTGACGCGAATTCGCGATCGAGCGGGGGGAATATTTCGGCAGCGGTCGTTTACATTGTGGACATGTTACGAGTATTGTAAGACCCGCTTGTGACCGGGTGAAACAGTTACGTGATGACCAGTGTCATGACCATATAACAATTACACGTTTGACATTGATCTTCGCCCAGCTCTGACGACTTTTTAATTTTTATTACACTAAATACAATAACATTTTCTTGATATTGTTCAGTTTTATTTAGAACATTAATGACTAGAAAAAATGTGAGTTATAAAAACTATCGGATGATTTCAAGGAGGAAATTATTAAAAGTAATTCATTTTAAATTATTATTTACTTTTCATATTTTTTATTATTATAATCAACACAATCACACGTCCAAGATGTAAAGTAGCGAGTGATCGTTATGTGTTAACAGCTAGTTTAATGGAATCATAATGGCTGTATGTGGATTACAGATAAGTATTGAAAATAAAGTATCGCAATTTACGCGTTTAATCTCACAATCAGTAATGAAGTACGCATCGCTTTAAATTATAAGTATACCTGTAACAGTGTTTGTTATATCTGCTAACTTGTAATAATCAATTGAGGCTTTTGGTTTCAAGAATTAAATAAAAAGCGCAATATTAGGATTTCATGCTCATAAAAATAAAAGTGAGATGTATGTTATCATAAAACGTAGATTAGCAATGCTGAACGTCATAATTATGCAAATTTATTTTGATATTAAATAAAATTAGAAATATGTGAATTACTTAACGCGTTATCTGATTATCAATTATCGACTCCAACGCAGAGCCTTCAAATCGATCTCCGTTATCTGATGCATCATAATCACTATGTATTTATGAGGCTGCTTAAATTTTCGGCCAGTAACGCCTCGGACGTCGAAATTTATGCTAATCACTTCCCTCTAAGGCCTTCGTTAAATATCCGCCAATCTACTTCCCAAGGAAGCGAAGAAATACCCGACGATATTTCTACGAGGATTTAGAACTGCAGACCATAAATTATTATAAATTACATTTGCGTGACCGTTTATAACAATCCCGAAAAATTGTGCTATGAATTGAATTTGATTAAAAAAGGATTTATTCTTTTTTTTAAACGCATTTATTATTCATTTGCCAGTTCATTTGCCATTTTCCGCACATAGGCTGCGTTCCGTTTCACACATGATGCGCATGATTTATCCTTTTATCTTTGTTTAACATTTGTGAACAACAAGGGTACCATGATACATCATGCGCGTCATGCATGAAACGGAACGCAACCCCCTAGAGATTAATAACTTTTCTAATAACTTTTCGTTATAAAAAATATAGCTCAAATTTGCGCAAATTTTTAAAAATTATAATACATCTATAATTCTCACTCAATTTTTATAATTAAAAAAAATGTGACGCCGAAAAAAAAATCACGAAAACACGGATTTTCATTCACTTTTACAAACAGGATAAAAAGGAATACATGAACTCACATTTTGATGCATTCGGCAAAAAATTCCGTCGTCTGTCAGTCGTTCATCATCTCGCAAATTCTTCTGGGACTCTCTGGATCTCCTCGTGATCCTCGGGAACACTCACGTGGAGCGTGAGCCTGGCCGGCGTTACAAACTTTTTAGTAACTATTCTGAAAATCGGTTGCTGATCGTGGCACGTTCCCGAGAGGGAGTAAGTCCTGAGGACGCGGATGGCTCCTACTTATAAAGACTTGGCCAAGACTTGGCTCTCCAATTGGCTTGCCGGTGTGCGTGGAGCACCAACACGCGTGTGTATGTGCACGCGAGAAGGAATAGTGGCCGCGTGCAACTGTGGAAGGGGGCACAAACCATGTCCCGATCGTTACACGCTCGATGTTACACATTACACCCGAGAACCGATACCGTCCAGGAATTCGCGCCTCTTCACCGGAGAATGCGACACTGTCGAGCTCTATGTTGAATCGCATTTCTCGCATTTCGAGCTAGTTAGCGCTGCATAAAATTAGTAAATCGCTTCGTGCATAGAACGCGAGAGACGAGAAAATATAACACGCGATGATATCGCATTTGTCAATTTTTATTTATTATTTCCTTTTAGCAAAAAGTATGATTCAACTGTAAGTATTTATATACTTCAATTCTTTTGCGTCTGTCTCATCGCATATCCCTTCTTGCAATTAATACATTTCAACGTTACATTATTGCAACGTATTCAAAAGTACTTTGTGTAATACCAAGCCTATCAGCATTTCTTTTTGGGAACATAAGTTGGCAATGATATTTTTTTATTTTGCGCAGGGTAACTTAAGGATTATTACTTAAGGATTAATTAAGCTTATACGTACACAGAGCAGGTTTCATTAATTCGCAAAGACATCTCGATACTGATAGAAGCCGAGTTGAACGTGCCCCAAGGTTTACGCGAGGGGGACCGTCGTCGTTGCGGCATGCCGATCTTGTGAAAAACTGCAGATACGAAAGCGAGTCGAAGATACAGCGTGTCGACGGAAAGTAAAGCCAGCATTGCAGCATCCAAGATCGAGTTATGTAGACCGTCGCAATTCTTCTGTTTCTCGGCCTTGATCGCTCCGGATGCATCTCCTTTGCCAACCCGGTGCGCGTGTGTTTTTTCGCGCCACGTCGCGGCGCCGATACGGTTTTCCCTGTCGGATCGGCTGTGGAACAGGTTCCGCTATTTATATCGTCTGTAATGAATCTGATAAGGAGATCTTAAAAAAATGAATTATCAAAAAGCTACGAGTCATGCTCACGCAATGAATGAAAAGCCCTGCAGAGAATACCCGCGAATCAATGATGTTATTAAAACAATCGCGCGCATTCACTCAAATATCTAATGCTGTCATCAAATAATGTCCTTATTATACGTATTATAAATACTTAAATATAACAGAAAACAAAATAGTAAATTTATGTATTGATACATACATTTAAATAAAATATAGAGACAAATCTATAAATTTGACACAAAATTGTCGTTACATAAAATTTTACAAATTATTTTAGTACGCATATTTTAAAAGTATTACTTTGATAAAATATCATTTAAAGTATTAAATAAAACATTATATTAATTCTTATAAAAACTAAAGTCGGTCGATAAATGCGACTGATGTTCTAATAATGATTGTTCCATGATTATCTGATTGTCTGTAAAATAACGATAAAAAAGAACAATATACTTTACGATTCTTTCCAATTCGATGTGTTTATAAAGAGTTCCGAATTATAAGAGAACGATATTACTATTTATACACTATTGTGTGTGCAATTTTTTTATCAAGATCAATTGTTAACTAAATTACAGATGACGTCGATGACGGTCACTGCTCCGACGCGGTTCGACGAACTCCGCGCAACAGGATGCTGCAAAAATTATAAGAATCAACTATGAAAACATGACGTACGAGAGCGTGAAAAAAATACGATAAAGACGAAAATGTTCGGCTCGTGACGGGCCCAAGGTCGCGACGATTATCGGCGATCATCAACGATTGTTCACATGCCGTTTCATGTGAGTCCCAAGTAACGAGGAATCCCGTGGGAACGTAGACGACGCATGCTCATTTATTTTCTATCTATGCCATACAAAGATATTCGAGGACAACTAGCAGCAGCAACGAGAAGTCCAAGCGTTGAACTCACCGGTTGCCGCAGCTTCCGCAGATTTTCCAGTGTTGTCTCCGGAATCTAGATTTTCTTTCAATCGATTTCTTTTATTATCTACATAAAATAGTAAAAATAGAGTTGAGTATATTATGAAAACAAACAAAAACTTGTTGTTTCTGTTTACAAAGAATTATATTTTCTTTCGAATTTCTTTTTATATCGAAACTGTTTGAACACTCGATTCTTAAATATTAAAAAATCGTACAATTATTGATTCTGTATTGTTCTATTTAAAATTATTCAAACTGTTCGGAATCTGTTGAATTCTTTTTCTTTTGAGCTTTGCAAAGTGACATGGAAACGTTTTATACAAAACGGTCGTTTTTTATACAACTTTTTTATAAAATATTTTATGTAATTATAACTATACTGTAATAACAAATATTTTTAACGATATGTGGATTTCGCTGCGCGTTTCTTTTCAGAAGAAAGTATTACATTTTAAAATGTAATACTTTCTTCTGAAACATCATGTAGGGGCAAACTACACTTGTATACGAACGAACTAAACGTACGTACAGAAAGGGAGTACAATGGATCGTACTTCAAGGTACGTTCACCATAAATGTTCTGAGGAAAAATCCCGAGGCTATGGATCCTTTGCCGGGGGACGTGTATGATCTTCGTCTCGTAGATTCCCGAAGAAAGAAACAACCTATTCTACAGGAAGGATTCTGAATTAACGAGCCGTGGAATATAAAGCGCGGAAGTCCAGTCTGATCTATGATTTATTCGTTCATGAAGACAGGCGCGCGATTCACCTGTCCCCAAGACTTTTATCTTTAGCGTAATAATGGCAGCTATAATACGAACGTATAGCGCAAATCGTATATATGTATGTGTGATGATCTTCATCGCTGATTTTCATTGATATTATATTTTATTTTCCGTTTACTCGCAGTACTTGGTTCGAGAAAAATTTATCTTTATTCAGCTAAAAACTTCGAATTGAAAAAGTTTGACGAATAAAAGCTGTATCGTAAAGTCCAATAATAATCGCAACTTTTCTGAATGAAAAGTTCACTTCACTTGCGCACTTCACTTGTAATTACTGATAACGTGTTGATTCGATAATTTATCAATGTTCAATTACCCCGTTTACGCAACTCAACGACCATGTAATCATAAAGCTCGAAGGTAGTGATTTAAGTTTACAATGACGCTCGTCATTAAGAAGACCAAAAGGGTTTAGTCCAGACACGCACCACATATGTATTTAAAAGATGGACTATCCTGTCGACATGCGAATACATAGGTACGAGTAGAGGCCGATGATTTATGAGTTATGGAGATCTCAAGCCACCTTCAATATTCCAAGTATTTTCGCGTGCGCGCCTTATATATTTCTATATGATATACACTTATTAAGCATACACACACAGATACATACGTACGCATTCAAAGTTGAGTACTTATATTGCACAAGTTCTTAATATAATTCTTAATATAATTCTTTATTTTGCAAATTTAATTTGTGCAAGCCCCCGTCGAGTTAAATGTGTGACAGTTTGCAGTTATTTATTTTCATACCGTGCAAAGAAACTCTATAAAGATTAAAGAAAAATATATAATCGTAAAGCTAAAAATTCGTTTAAAAATCTGACGAAAGCAATAGTCGAGCAATAATGCCGCAAAGGGATTTATTGAATTTAGGTATAGGATGTACACCAATTGTATTCGATCTCTATTCAATTATCGTCTTTATCGAACGATCTTACAAACGTATTTGTGATAGCAAGTTTGCTTTGGGTAGCAATCGGCAAAAAGTGGGGAAAAAACGATGAGAGATACGTCGTACGTACACGCAACGATGAAGCGTCATAAAGATCGCTCCGCTTCTTTTGCGGTTTTTTTCACCGAACGTCGATGACACGGACAAGAGAAAAAAAAAAGAGACGAAACACAGAGGAGAGCAGCTGTGTGGTTGGAAGGTATACCGGATACCTTAGCGGCTTATAAATAACCGGCGCGCCTCTTCGCGTCCCTTCGCGCGCTTTTCTTTCCCTCCTCCCTTCCTCTCGTACAATCCGTACGTACCTCCGACGCACGAGTTTTTGCGTTCAGAGACCCCGTAATTCAGGTTCCCTCGCACGTACGCCATGCGCAACGCGAAGGTAATTAACGTCGGTGTTGAGAAAACCGCCGACTGCCGCGCCGGTTTCGCCCGACAAAAAGAGCACCGAGAATTTCGGTGTGTTGATTCTCCGGGTTGGTTTTTACGTGCGCAAGTAGCGACACGTTGTTCGACCTGTGCTGTACGTAAACGTAATGCATTACTGATGCATGCGATACGAAAAGTGTTTCTCGGTACCGCGAAAAAACGAAGGGAGACGCTCCGAGTCGGCTGAACCGGTATAATAGTTATGGACCGCACGAATTCATTAGGACGGTGATTATTTATTGCCGCGGCGTAGGGAACGAGAAAGCGTATCTCTCTAATCTCCGAGAGCCCGAAGCTTTCATTAGAAAAATCTATCACTTGTCAAGTAATTATACATCGAGAATATATTTTTTTATTCTTTGTATTATGTTTAAAAAATATAAATTTGAGAGAGAGAGAGAGAGAGATCGACTAATTGTAAGTTAGTAATAGTAATCGTAGTTAAACATTTATAGATTGTGCGATATGATAAAGAGAGCATTAAATAATTATATAAAAAGATGAAAATCGGTATAAGATTCATGACAAAAAATGAATTAATAAATAAAATTTTTAAATAGATTTAGCTATATACAAATATTTTTACAAGGTACGCCAATTTACCTTAATCATCTGATGTCAGATATGCAAATAATAGCAATTAAGAAACCGAACATTATAATACTTTGAGAACAACGGATCGTTAATCAATATTTTTGAGAAGACCACACCGTGGATATACATGCACGGTAGCAATAATATAACTTATCCGGTTTAAAGTGTCGCCTATCACGCCCGTGACTGGTTTACCGCTATTTAACACGATATCGATCATCTTCGAGAGGAGATCAATTTAAAGAGGGCCGCGAGCAAAAAAAGAGCCATTT